AATAACTATCTAATCAACATGTTTATTTTTTGTCAATAATGACATGTATTGATTATTTTCAGTCAAAATATCTCAAGAACGGTTGCCCGTGGCGATTTTTACCAAGATACATTTTTAGGTAAAAAGTCACGGAAATGTATATTTTTTTACTCAGTAGTTTTATACAGGTACGGACGAAAAGTTATTACTCTTCAAAAGGGTTAAGACACATGTATGGGGCGCTGTGATGGGGCGTATCCGTTACACAGAACTGTTAATAATCCCCACCCTAGAGTCCTCTTTTCATCGACCATGCATGAATACATGGATAACATTATACTCTTTCCTTAATATTTTTATTGAAATATAATTGCAAGTCACTTAGGTTTTGATTAAATTTAGAGCTTTGATTTTGAACAAAAATTTTGATAGATATCTGGGTTTGAAAATTCCAGCTCTGATCTATTTTTTACATATTATTGTTTGTAGTTTTTATATTTTATTTAAATAAATTTTTATTAATTTAATATAATATCTGGCACAAATAAAAAAAAACTGAATTTGATCTCTTAAGATTCCTTTTATAAATGGGAACAAAAATTCATTCATAATTCCTCAGAATTCTTCTTTCTATTAGGTAGCAGTTATATTGTTTGGAATTGTATACGGTGTTCATAATCATAACACGTCCGTTCAGATTCCTTATCTGTTCTGGGCCCAACTTTAATCAAAATAGAACGAAAGGGTCAGCAAAATATCTTCATAAATCACACCGATAAGATCGTGGATCCGAACACAGAGGAAAAAAGGGATGAAAAAAGTAAGGGGATGAGATAGAGGACGGGCAGACAATAAACGGTGGCTCTAGAGAATCAGACTGTATAGTAAAAAGAATGGAGAAGAGTAGAGAGACATAAAACACATACATTCTTGTAAAACATGGAAAATAAGTTTGTTATAGTAATACTTTTATTGTCCATGATACGTCCATGAATACCTTAATCAATCGTTATTTATCAGAAAAGAGATAAAAAAGTTATAAGGGTAGGAAACTTTTTAAAAACATCCGGTAGAGTTATAAATAAAAATTTTTATATAGCTTGAAAACATATATCTGATATCATTAGCAAATGTCCAACAAAACCGCCATTGTTTTGAGTACATAAAATGCATCTTTTTAAAACTGAATTACAAGCTTTTCCCACAGAACGGCCGGGCGACTTTAATAAACTTCTCCCGTACCGCCTCTTCAAGTGCCTCTCTTAATTCATAAGTTCTCTTTGTAAACCTTGTTGTTAACCATACCGCATAAAAAAAAATAAAATGGATAGGTCAGGTGATCGAGGAGGCCGATGCAATTGGTCCACCTCTTCCTATCCCTGAGTTTGCATAATTATGATATAAATAATTTTTAACATTTCTTTCATTATGAGGGGAGTGGCATAATGAAAATCATGTTGGAACCACTCTACTGATGCGCGAGTATCTAAATTTAACTTTTCTAAAAAACGTAAGTAACGTTCACCGATCAACGTATCCTCGAAAATGTATGGCCTAGAAAAGTTGAACCAATAATCCTACACGCTATTCTTCATTTGAAAAATTCCTATTTACAATTTTTGTTTATTTTAATTTATAAAGTTTGGATGTGACAGTTTCACATTACTGAGAGTAACGACCCCGTACGGGTTATATAGTCAAAGGTAACGACGATTGAGCTTGTTTCCATGGCTAACTAAGTGAAATTGTTTAAAAATGATTAGAATTGGCTATACCTCAGTAATTTTTCGAAAGAAACATATTATAGCTTATATCGCTGAAAAGCTTAAAAAATGGCGCTTTTTATGAAGTCATGCTGAACTATGGTTTCCATTTAAAAAAACATATGTTTGTGTCATATGTCAAAAATGACAGGCTTTAGAAAAAATCGGAGAGCACAAACTCGTTAGGGATGTGATTATCTACAACTTTTATTTGAAAACTTTTTGTCTAAAATTAGGGACAATTTTTAAAATAGCCAAAATTTGTTTTTTTCCAAATATCTAGTAAGCCATGAACTTTTTCAAAAATTCGAAAGATGCATATTTATGATCCACAAAACTGCATTTCTTTCCGCATTTAACCGGTTCTCTATCTTCAGTAGTTTCCGAGATACCATAGAGAACATCGTAGGAAACTCACCCTGTATATCTAAAAAAATAAAAAGTTATAGGGGTGCGCCACTTTTGAGACGCACCCGGTATACTAGATATTTTTTATTATTATTAGGTTAAGTTTATTTTCTATGGTTTCTTTTAAGATTTGAAGCTCCATTCTGTAATAATGTTTTTAAATTATTACATTTTCAACACTATAGGTTTATTTTTTATAACTTCTCTTCCAAAAGCTTCTAATATTAAGCCAACCCTCCTAATGCATCTACCTGAAGGGGAACATCCAAAATTACGAAAAAAAGCCTTTTAGGTGAGTTGGCAAAACATTAACCTATAATTACTATTAAACTGTAAAACGAATACCGTACCACAGAGTAGGGATTTTAGGTAGTTGATGCGTCATCTGGCATTTTAAGAGATTAATTATTACATTTTTATCAACAATAGCAATTAAATTTCGAATTAATTGTTGGTCAGAGTGTTGAACTGGATTGAAAGGTCATTATTAGTTAATAGTTAATATTTATCTAGGCAACTGTTTAAAGGTACAGAAAAACTAAATTTTCTCTATAGGTTTGCGCTATCTTAAGTAGCGTATTTTATAACTAATTATTATGTTTTATCTTTAGTTGAGTCTAAATATCAGATACTTTATCTGCATCAGATACCTACGGGTTTGCTACTTTCGTTATAGGTTAATGTGTTCTTGTACTATCCTTATAAATATCTGAAAATCAATTTTTAACTGAAAATCATTGTAAAATTGGTAGCCCTTAGTTTAATTTTACCATACTAAGGGTGGCTGCAACGACCTCCCGTAATCCTGCTGTTAAAATAAAACTGATTTTTATATATTAAAACCAGCTGTTATGTTTTAACAACAGGATGACAGGACGTCGTTGCAGCCACCCTTAATTACATTTTTATCAGTCTGGTCGTACACTAGTGGTTAAAATACTTTTGGTGGTTTTAACTGTTTAACTGATTTAATGCTATTTTTTATGTATAAGATACTATAATCAAAATAATTCCTTTTATCGGGAGCATTTATTTATAATTTATTTACAGGATAATAAAAATACTGATATACATTAAAATAAACACTAACATCAAAATGAATTTAGCAAAAACTAAAGTAATGTATCGGGTGGCCAATTAAGAATGGACGTCAGCTGTATCTCAGAAACTACTTATCGTATTACTTTGGGAAAAAAGTTCTAATAAGTAAATCGACCAAGAGAAATCGCTGGAAATTATTTTCAAGTTCGAAAAATGTCCGCTAGGGGGCATTTCGCTGATAGCCAATCAGAAAACAGTTTTTTTTCTCAAAAATATGCAGGTTTTTTTCTGAAAAAAATTAGCCTGTATCAGAATCTTCTTTATCCATCTTTTCAACTTCAAGTGTGTTATCTAACTCGTAACATTTTCTTTCGTATTTTTTAGTGGCGAATATAGATTTCTAAAGAACTTTAGATGAGGTGTTCAAATTGGGCACTTCTCTGCATTCCGGATACTTCGGCAGCATATTCTGCAGATAAAAATAGGTAAAAAAGTTCGTATAAATGTATGTCCTAAAATGCTTGTTTTCGGATATACAGGGTGTAGAAATTTCATTTTTATTTCAATTTTTTTCCAAATAATTTCTGAAGTAACGTTAATATTTGGATGAAAATTGGTATCGGCGCGTTTCTTGACATGATAAATTTGATTTTGGTATCAATATGACTCCTACTGGTAGAGGGCACCACCTACATATTTTTTAACTAGTTTGAAGAGTAATAACTTTTTGCCCGTACCTGTATAAAACAACAGAGTAAAAATATATATATTTACGACGAGTTTTACGTGAAAAAAGTCTCTTGGCAAAATTCGCTACGAGTACTGGTTCTCGAGATATTTGGAATCGAAATTATCAATACCTGTCATCATTGACACAAATTAAGCATGGTGACCTCGATGGTGACTAAATAGTTATTAGACTGAAATCATAATTTGAGATATTTTTGTGCCAAAAGTTCAACAGAAGCTATTTTATCATCATTTCTTCGTAGAAAGATTTATGATCAATTTAAAAAAAGAAACATTTCCCAAATTTATTATTTCAGTCAAATAACTATCTACTCAACGTGTTTATTTTTGTCAATAATGACATGTATTTCTATTCTAAATATCTTGAGAACGCTTGCTCGCAGCGATTTTTACCAAGAGCCATTTTTTACATAAAACGTTACAGCAATGTATATTTTTTCACACAGTAGTTTTATACAGGTACGATCGAAAAGTTATTATTCTTCAAAATAGTTAAAACACATGTAGGTGGCGACCTATACAAGTATGAGTCATATTGACATCAAAATCAAATTTCTCATGTCAAAAACCTTCCAGACACCAATTTTCACCCAAACATTGACGTTACTTCAGATATCATTTGGTAAAAATCGAATTAAAAATGAAACTTATATTTTCTTGTCTCAAATTTTCATACTTATTTAAATTTAATAACTTCACACAACTTGAATATTATCAAAAATCAGTAATTGAATGATAGCAGTAATCTGATAAAGATATGACACATGATTGTTACAAGGCAAGAGAAAAAAGGTAAAATGAGAGAGAAAAATGCAGATTCCTATCATACCGATCAGTGACTTGTTAAAAGAAATAGTTAGTCAAGCGATCCACCTTCCCATCTTTCGAGATTACGGATAAACTCGAAGGGAACGCGTCCAATTTAGACATCGATGAGCAGTGGCGGTCCCAAGGGGGGGGGCTTTGGGGGCTCAAGCCCCCCCCATAAGCCCAGTCAAAAATGCTAGTATTACAAGGATTATGTATTACGAATTAAAACCCTAAACATTGCAAAAATCGATTTATTAGGAATCGATTCACATGGAACATCCCTATTTCAGCGCGGCTGCTCGGAGTGTTCGTGAAGTTCTTCGAAATGTGGTTATGTTTGAATTTGCCGATTGTGAAATTGTGATTACCGTTGAATCGCCGAATGTAGTACCGAGTACCGATTATTTTTGGTGTGTTAAGTTAAAAGCGGGCTTCTTTCCTCTGTTTGTTTTCATTCATAGTTCAAAAATTCTTGTAATATTAAAACAAACTGGATTGAAAATGAAAAGGAGCTACGGCCACGAAGATATCCGAAATTTCTTTAAAAAGACTGTAACGGTTGATAATAATTCTAGTTCCAGTGAAGGTCTCAGTTTCAGTTGTTGTTACTCTAGTAGTTCTAGTACTGTTGAAATATCAAAAAAACAAGACCCCGAATTAAGTAAAATTAGGGCTGTGCCTGTGGTAAGCGAGCAAAACTATGATTCAGATGTTGTCGGTCTAGGTCTTATTAGTGATTTAGATATTGGATACGCGGTAGAAACAGATATTAATTTGGATCGTAGCATGCGATATAAGCTTCTAAAAAGTGCATGGAGACCAACAAATAATTATCAGTTCCCAATGAGAAAGGAAAAAAAACAAAATCGAAGATTCAATATCGACTGGTTGAGCAAATTCAATTACTTATCATATAGTAAATTAAAAGAAGGTGTCTTTTGTAGATTATGTGTACTTTTTGCACCTTCTGGAGCTGGAGTGGGTTTTCAGGTAGGAATGTAGAAAGCTTTTTTATTTTGCCAGAAAAATTCCTGTACTTTTCTATACAATAATATGTACTTATATTTTTACAGTACAGTTATTTTATTTTTGCTTAACGAGTAGTACCTATATTGGATGGCGCCTCTCATACGCCGTGGAGGCTCCAAGGAGAACTACAGTTTGTATTGAAATGAAATTTTGTTAGCATATGTAAGTAAATTCAGAGCACTTTTTAAAAATATAGAGAGTTCTACAGGGTGTCCCCAAAAAAGTTACATATCAAAGTTGTGTTTTTTGTAATGGAACACCCTATATATTAATTGATTTTCGGATTCTGGGAGAAAAATATAGGTGAGTTTTATAAGGGAAGTATATGACTAAAATGTAAGGTTTTTGACATATTTGACATTTTTTAGAAATAAAGAACAATTTTTAAATTACAGTAAAAGCCACCTAAATTGGAATTTACCCGGTATAGCCTAATATGTAGTTAAATTCATTATTTTACTGACGCAAAATACTCGATCTACTGACGCAAAATTATAAAAATGAAAATATTTAGGAAAATCTTTGTCTGAGAGGTAGGCAACTTTAATAATATTTTGAAGATATTATATAAATTCCCCATTGAACACTGGAATAATATACTGGGTGTTCTATTTAAAATAAAGAAGTAACTTGCTTTTAAAAGTGACTAATGTTTCATATTAATTTTGTCTCACCCTGTATAACTTTTCGGATCAAATTTCAATTTGGTTTAACATACAATGGTTACTGTAATTAAATATCAGGCTATATAAAGTCAACTAAAATTTAGGTAGCTGTTATTGCAAGTTAAAATTTACTCTACATTTTCACAAACTGTAAAACATGTTAAAATTCTTAAATTTTAGGTATATGCTTCTTTAATAAAACTTACCTTTATTTTTTCCTAGAATCCGAAAATCAATTAATATACATATAGGGTGTTCCATTAAAAAAAACACAACTTTGATGTGTAACTTTTTTTGGGGACACCTTGTATAATTCTATATATTTTTATAAAATGCTTCCAGTTAATCTACATATGCTGCCAACATTTCATTTCGATAAAAACTACCGTTCTTCTTGGAGCTTCCGCGGCGTATGAGAGGCGCCACCATGTACAGGGTGTTTCCTAAATAAGTGCAAAAAATTCAAGGGCGTATTCTTGAGCCAATTTTATGAAAAAAAGTTCATATGAACACACGTCCGAAAATGCTTCGTTTACAGGGTGTTGAAAGTGAAAAATACCGTAATTTCATTAGATGAAAAAACGGTACGCCACTGATTTTCCCAAAATAAAACGCTTATATATTTTTTATAACAATATTTTTTGTTATATAACAAAAAAGGCCTCTTAGCATTTTTCTTTCCGACGAACGGTTATTGAATAAAAAATAAAATAAATTTATCTGCATTTGCTTGATTTATTAACAATGTGTGGACCATGCAATGAGAAAATATTTACATTGTTTATCTATAGCATACCTACCTATTTAAAATTTCAGACTCTCAAGGTTTTGGTCCGAGAGCCATTACAGAAATACAAAGACGCTATTAAAATATTTGAGGAACACGCCAAAAAACAATACCATCTAAAAAGCCTGGAGCGTGCTGGAGATTTTATAAAAAATTATGAATCCAGTAAGGATGTTTGCATGATGCTGGATAAGGAAGTAGATAGTGTTATTAAAAGAAACAGAGAGAGACTCATTCCAATTATTAAAACAATAATTTTTTGTGGAAGGAATAATCTCCCGCTAAGGGGGCACCGAGAAGGTGGAAGCTTAGATTCTGAAGACAATAAAAACATACTATCTGGCAACCAAGGCGTATTTAGAGCTCTACTTGCTTTTAGAATTGATTCTGGAGACACTACTCTAATGCAACATTTTCAAAAGTGTGGGAACAACAGCATGATGATAAGTGGAAAAATTCAGAATGATTTAATAAGTTCCATCGGAGAAGAAGTGCGAAGTGTTATTGTGGAAAGGATCAAAAAAGCTTATTGTTTCACAGTTTTATTAGACGAAACCACAGATTGTTCTAAAAAAGAACAGTTAACAATTTGCGTAAGATATGTGGATTTGCAGGCTTTCATTATTCGTGAGGAATTCTTAGGTTTTGTGGAAATGAAGTCAACCACAGCTAAAGCCATTACGGACACATTATTACAGGAACTAACAAATATGGGACTGAGTCTGGAAAATCTTCGAGGTCAAGGTTATGACGGAGCTGCGAATATGTCCGGAAGTTTTAAAGGTATAACTTAAAAAATTATACATATAAAGTGAGTATTATAGATATTATATCATTGTTTAGGTGTCCAAGCACTAATCCGGAAAGAGCAACCACTGGCCTTATACACTCATTGTTTTAATCACTCGCTTAATTTAGCTGTTTCCAAATCATGCGATTTGAGTGCAATTAAAAATGCGATGGGAATTGTAGCAAGTGTTTCTACATTTTTAAGTGGTTCTGCAAAACGAGTTAATATGATGAATGAGATAATTGATGAACAAGAGGCCATCTCAGAAACTAAGAGAAGAAAACTGAAATCACTCTGTGCAACACGATGGGTTGAAAGGCATGACACATTAATCACCTTCAAAGATTTATTGCCTGTTATTGTCATAGCCTTACAACAATTGGAAAACGATAAAGATAACGAAACTTCGCGAAATGCAATGTGCTATGGTTCGTCTATAAAAAGAAGCGATTTTTTGGTTTCCCTATGGGTCACTGCTTATTTATTCGAATATTCAGTAACATTAAGTACTGTTCTTCAGACCAAGGACTTAGATATTTCTGCAGCTTTGGATAATGTGACGACTTTAATAAACACATTTAAGGATTTAAGATCTACCTCAGAAGACATATTCAACAAAATATTTGTTGATCTTGAAAACTCGTCGGAACGTCTTGGAGTAGAAATTAAAATTCCAAGGTAAAATGATGCTACCTACATGTCACATTCACCATTCGTCTTTAATTTGCTTTTAGATTATGTGGAAGACAAACCCAAAGGAATAACGTGGAAGCATCCACTACCAATGAGTACTTTCGTAAGTCTATATTTATTCCATTTTTAGACCATTTCATTGAAGAGCTCAAATCAAGGTTTAATGATAGATTGGCAGAAGTAATTCCGTTAGAAGGATTAATTCCTGCAAAATCTTCCAAATATAATATAGGGGAAATTGTAAAAGCAGCCATGTTCTATCAATCGGATCTAAACGTTAGTGAAAATCAGCTTCATGCTGAAATAACAATGTGGCATAAAAGATGGGATGATGAAACAACTGTTATTCGTCCTTCTGCAGCAGTGGAAGCCTTAATGTATTGCACCGATTTTTTTCCACTAATCAGGATCCTGTTAAACATCTTTGCCACTCTTCCTGTCACAACTGCAACACCTGAGAGAAGTTTTTCAACAAGCAAACGCCTTAAAACATATCTACGTTCAACTATGTTGAATGAAAGATTTTGCGGCTTGGCTTTGTTGAATGTTCATAAAGAGGTCGATATTGATCATGAGAAAGTCATTAACAAATTTGCTTCGATGAAGCCAAGGCGTATGCAATTAAAAGATTGGTCAAGTACTGACTAATAAAGAAAAATATTTAATAATATAAATATATATTATGTTTTGTATTTTGTATAAATAAGTATTATGAAACTTTGGTTCAACTTGTTTCAGTAAATTATTAATACAAAATATATTATTTGCTATTTTGTACATAAACATTTAAAAAAAATAGTCCTTAGCCCCCCCCTTTGACAATTGCTGAGACCGCCACTGAATGACTACCTAACTATTGTAGATCATAACAAATTTGAATATAAACGTTGCATTTGAAATTTTATTATATGCCAGAAAGTGAGATTTTTTTTTATCTTAAAATAAAAAATAAAAATTGCGTCATTTCTGGTCATTATATACGATATTCTAAAGGAATTTTGCTCAACAAATAAACAAAGGTGTTACCCGACCTTTTTTACATTTTATTGCTTTATTATATCTGCCCCTTCGGCCTTGTTTAGACAATTTTTTTATCACTGTACAACTTTCCCTAGGAGATGCAAGACCTTGTCGTTGGTGGGGAAGTTCCTGGTCGGGTGCTGAGGGGAATCACCTTTAGCATTTTGGCTTGGTCTAAGAAGCATCTCACTCATTGTCTTGTCTCTGGCTGTAGTGTCGTGGCCAGGGAATTGCACCAAGACATTTAACCAGGCACCTTCTACTGTCTGTGGTCAAGTCTCGCGGGTAGAGGGTGTGGGGGGGGGTCTTGGCTTAACCGCCCGGACCAAGAGGAGACAACCTCACTAAAAAAACTAAATCCTACGATGGTGGGACCAGGTCAAAGGGATGCGTGGCTAGATAGAGACTAGCCTCTACTGGTCTCAACCTTGGAGCACCAGGGGGCACCCCATTGTATTTACCTCTTACTTCTACATGCGGGGCTCTGTAGAAGTGGACTGACTAACCCTAGCTACTCGTGGGAACACTATGAGATCAAACAATCATAAAAACACCACCGGTGAAGCTGTGGGGAAACCCCCTAGTAACACTGGGAACATTATGAACGAAAGTTTTGCAGCTTGGCTTTGTTGAATGTTCATAAAGAGGTCGATATTGATCATGAGAAAGTCATTAACAAATTTGCTTCGATGAAGCCAAGGCGTATGCAATTAAAAGATTGGTCAAGTACTGACTAATAAAGAAAAATATTTAATAATATAAATATATATTATGTTTTGTATCTTGTATAAATAAGTATTATGAAACTTTGGTTCAACTTGTTTCAGTAAATTATTAATACAAAATATATTATTTGCTATTTTGTACATAAACGTTTAAAAAAAATAGTCCTTAGCCCCCCCCTTTGACAATTGCTGAGACCGCCACTGTCGATGAGCGACCATCCTATCAAACGTTTTTTCTTGTCTATTCCGCTCAAGACTCCCGAACCATCCGACCAACCAAGCGTCACGCTTACCAAAGAGAAAGAGAAGGAAAAAAGCGCTACATACACCGATAGATCGATAAAAATAAATCCAATTAACCGTTTCCCCGGTAATAGTACCAATACACAATCTAAATCATTTCGATTTTTGACAAAAGTATCGTCCTCTCTCGGTCGCTCATAGGCGAGTCTCGCTCGCAGACACCTTTACTTTCTGATGGGACCCGCAGATAGTCCGAATACGAGAAGTAAACTCAGAGTAATAGGATACGCAGGGATGCTATATTATCATTAAATTATTCTTGATTCAAATAAGACGCTACTTTTAAATTATAAATTTGTCCATTATTGCAAAGCTTTTGCTCTAGCTAGCGTGTACCCGCGACTTCGTTCGCGTCAGATTAATCATTTGTAATGGTGATGATAAAAGCAAAGCAAAATTTCCATTAACATACAAACTGGATAAAATTTTCTCACATTTATGTCAGCATGAGAAAAAACAATATGGCGTTATTATTATATAACTTGGTAATATCTGAGGGGTAGTTTCATCTCGTTGGAATTTGACTTTCGAAAAATCCGTTTGCTAGAAATAAGCTTTTACGTCAAACAGTTTAAGTAGAATCGTGGTTAATCAATTACCCAACTTTTTGGAACACCCTGTATGATTTTTTAAAAAATTTCAAAATATGTAAAAAAAACAAAATATATTATGCGTGTCCAAGCGTTTTCCCGAAAGACTAACCGTTTTTTAAATAACAAATATTGTAATATTTGAGAGGCGTTTTTACCCTCTTGGAATTTGAGATTCGAGAAACCCCTCCTTATCGAACCTCTACACCCCACAGTCAATCCGTTTGACAAAAATCAGCTTTAAACGTCAAGCAGTTTAAGCGGAATCGTGATTACTCAATGGTCATATTTTATGATACACCCTGTATAATTTTTTAAAAAATCTTAAAATATGTAAAACAACAAAATAAAATATACGTGTTTAAGAGTTGTTCCGAAAAACTCACCGGTTTTTAAATAAAAAATATTCTAATATTTGAGGGGTGGTTTCACCCCCTTAGAATTCGAGTTTCGAAAAATCCTTTCTTATCGAACCTCTACACCCTAAAGTCAGTCCGTTTTCCAAAAATCAGCTTTTTACATCAAGCGCTTTAAGCAGGATCGTGATTAATCAATGACCAAATTTGTCGAAACACCCTGTATACATTTTTAAAAAATCTTAAAATATGTAAAACACATAATAAAATATACGCGTTTAAGCGTTTTTTCGGGAACTGGACCTTTTTTTAAATAAAAAATATTGTAATATTTGAGAGGTGGTTTCACCCCCTTGGACCTGGAATTTCGAAAAATCCCTTCTTATCGAACCTCTACACCCTAGTTTGAGCAGTATCGTGATTAATCAGTGAGTCACTTAAGGATTTTATACATTAGTATAGATTTACACATTTTACAAGACTTTATATAATTAAAATTGTTTACTATAAGGTTGACAACTACCCAGCTTGTTCTTTTACTACTCTCAAGCAATAAGCACCGGGTACGTACATGAATTCAACGCGAAGAAGATATTTCACCCGATTAGAAGGTATAAATAGTCATAAGTACGTTCTCCTTGTTAAGTCGCTAATGCTTCGGAATTTTTTCGCTGCTCTCTCATCTTTTCTATCGGCAACAATCGATGAAGGAAGCGAAATTTTTTAATTTACACCAGAATCGACGGCACTATCGCCAGAAAGCATCTTTCTTATAGCCAGGCAGTAGTTTACGTAATAATTTAATCTTTCTTTAAGTCAAATCAGCTGCACTGAAAAAAATTCATTAAAAAAAACATTAATGACACCCTAGTTAGTCTTTCATCTTTCATAATCTTGTGTACAGATAAAAATAAAACAAAAAGTTTCTATGAACATATATTATGTGCCCTAAAATGCTTCCTGAAGAAGTTAAAGCCCTGGAAAGGTTTAATAAAAATAATATATTTTGGTTATTTTTAAGAACATTTCCAGATTTCACTATTGTTAAAATCGATGCATCGGAACCTTTAAACGCAAATATTTTGAAAACAGTTCACTGTTTCGAACTAAACGAAGAGAACCTTTTTTAAATAAAAAAATCTTAGCTTTAATTTCCATTTATTGCAATTACTGTATCTATAAGGATAAAAGAAGTACCACCAGTTGTACTTTCTCTACCCTAACGGAAAGTACCCTTTCAGGGCTGTTATGGTAATTTAACACTATCGCCATTCCCTTTGGCATTAAAAAGTGTAACAGTACCAAATTTTAAGAAAAACACTTTACCAATCGTCTTAAAAATAAACAAAATAAGTATATTATTTTCATTTAACCTTTAAACGGCTGTAATTTCTTCGAACAGCATTTTAGGGCATATGTTCATAGGAACTTTTTGTTTTATTTTTATCTGTGGAGTCACCCACCGAACACTATTTATTTTGACACCCTGTATATAATCCAAAAATGCTCGTGAAAGGGTGAACCAAGCATAGTTTGCCAAAAATGGAAATGCTTCAGATTGCAACTAAAATATCTTTACCAATAGTTAAATTTACGTATAATCCACAAACACAAACTGTTGAATATCTCAATTCTAACAGATCTTGAGTAATTTGAGAAAATAAACGAAACAATTCGATATTTTCCACAAATATCTCAGGAAAAAAGTTTAAATCTCTAAAACGAAACTGTTTTGTAAAGTACGAGTTAAGGTCTATAACATATTGTAAAATAAGCAAAATCCATCTTTTAAAAATTAAAAAAAAATGTTCAAAAGGAAGACCAAGCAAATTTTGTCCAAAATTGAAATGTCTCAAATTGCAACTAAAATACCCTTACCGATAGTTAATTTTACGTAGAATCCACACTAACACAGACCGTTCAATGATGTATCTCTAAGAGATCTTCACTAATTTGAGAAAATAAATCGAAAATTTTGTTGATACACCCTCTTTTTTAGTCAATATGTCCTAATTAAAAAAAAAATAATTTAACTAAATATTTTCTAACAAACCAAATCATTTACTACATTCTTCAGTTCGCTTGACAGTTAATTAATATCTGCGTCAAAAATAACATAAAAAAAACAAAAGAAATCGACCGTAAAGACTAAAACAATCCAACAAAGAAAGATAGAATCATTAGATAGACTAGAACAAACAAGGGACAGCCAGAAGCGTCCCTCGTCTTTATTGACATTTTAAAAAGTCGTTATTGAAACGTCAATTAATCTAGACTGCTGCGGTTCCTCAGCATTTGGCGCGTGATGGATTTTCGGGACCGAATGAACCAATTATTTTTTAAGAGGAGCAAGCATCCACCTCTGAGTTTTTTTTTATCTTGATGCGGTCTTCGCCGGTATGTCGTGTTGTCATCCTCTGTTATCTAGCTACCGAAATGCAAATTAGTCGATACCATAGACATGTAGAAAAGATAGACTAACCATATACATAGGTTTGTTTTGACCCAAAAAGCAAAATCTTAAACTACCTTAGGAAATTATATAATAAAATATTAGGAAATTTTACAATTTTACATATTTTTTGTTTGATACAATAAAGGATTAAATTAGATAGACATTTGATACCAACATGTAAGTGAAAAAAAAACAATAA